TTTATGTTTTCTGTAGCTCACAAGTAACGACTTTACATTCTAACAAACAGCTTTAATGCTGAATTTATGGAACGGACTACTTGTGCATAAATTAGTGATGGATACGTTTAAACCGTGTATGTGTCCGAGTAAAAGATTCCTCTACAAGGATTAGCAGAGCAATGCTCTGCTAATCCTTGTATAAGTAAAATATTATATATATAAAAAAATATTCACAAATTGTTCGCATAAGCGTTAAACTGTCACTTTTGGAGGAAATCAACTACAAAGCATTTATTGGCACATCTCTGCGAAGTTTACAAAGAGTATACTTAACGTAGATTATATGGAGCAATTAATGATATCAATTGTTCACAATTAAGGTTTCAAACAGAAAATTTCAAGAGGAAGATTCAAGACAGCACCTACATTTTAGTAACTCATTAAGATGAATAAAACGACAGTAAAAAAGAAAGTTTTACAGGCTGCTTGCAGTCGTCTTTCTAATTCAGTATAATATCTGACCAGTGGAATAGAAGAAGTTTACTTTAACTAAAAAGACACTGTATTTTAGAACGGCAATGAATAAGTAAGAGTTTGACGTTTAAACCGCAGTTATTTAGCTGGGATAGCTTCAAAGATTATCTTGTCAAAATACTTTTTTTACTTCTCTTATCTTTACGTTTCCAACTTCGTCCAAAAACGCTTTGTCCGTTTTTCTGCCTATAAATAAATTTTAACGCTTCTACTCATCTACAGCACTTTACCTACGAAAACCATAATAGCTGTGAGACGTTTGGTTTATTCAATGATTTTTTGAATACTTTAGCAGATGGTAATTGTTAATGAGCTACTGGTCTAATTATGGAAGCCTAACAGGTGGAAAAACTGTAGTGTCATAAGTACACCGTTTCTTTTGGCAAACACTTAATTTGTAATTAAGTTTCAAATATTGTATTTCTATTCAGGCAGAAAACATCTTCAAAGTTTTACATAAAAGAACCACTGAAACTATATCTGATTAAATTAGCATAAATTGAGGTTGCGTGTGGAAACTTCTTGCTAATTTTCTTAAAGCTTTTTCTTCAGTTG